TTTAAACCTTACATTAATGGTTTTGTGAGTGGTTAGTTGGGGGAAGCCATTAATATCTGAAAATTGGTATTTATTGAGGCTGTTGGGAGTATTGATGATCATTAATGGTGGCTTAATGACTCATTAATAATAAGGTGGGTCATTGAAACCTAGTAAACTCATTGGGTATGATAGGTAGTGAAATTATGATTTTGGTAAAAATGGAGAATGTGGAGTATAATAGTAAAAATTATCAAAAGTGGAGTAATAATGTTATCCTTGTGGTATGATTCTAGAGTAACCTATTTGGCACCATTAAGCTAAATTGGAAGCTTTGGAAGTGGTTATATTGAGGAGTAAACCTTTGACCTCTCAAAGGTTTGAGGTAACCGGGGGAATCTAATTTGTATAGTTGTATGTTAATTAATAAATTGTTGAATAAGTTGTTTATAACTTGATTGATGTGTTGAAAACTCTGTGATGAAAATTTTAGCAACATAATGATAATTGTAAATGTGACACTATGTTGAGTTATCTAGAATGTTAATATGCATGTTATTTATATGAATCATGGTGATGATGTGAAAATATGATATGATATGATGAGAACGTGATATATGATATGTGGAGTATGTTGGAGTGAGGAAACGGTGCAAACGTGATATGAGGTTATAGATTTTTGTCACAATTGTGTAATATATGTAATATGTGTATAGCATGATCATTGGTGGGAGTTCACCTAGGGAGAGGAGTAGATTGGTAAATCCACGTGGTATTGGCAGCTTACTGTTGGAATCAAAAGCTTGCCTTGGCACTGACTGTTGGAATTAGGAGGTAGTCATTATTCCATGGTTGATTTGGACTATCCTACTTGTTCTACAAGAGACTTAAACCTAACTAGTCTCCACTAATTTATTAGAAGGCTAGATTAGGGGTACAACACCTCATGGTTGTTAATATTGGAAGAAACCGCAGTACACAAGTGAATGGGTTAACCTTGACCTATTAACTCCTCACAAGTAGAAGACTGGGTTAGTTCAAGTTATGGACATAGTCACTAGTTTCATGTCGAAGCTAACAGGAGGATATAAGGCTGGCATGATCATGCATTTAGCTCTGACCACATGGCTATTATTATTGTGGTCCAACATGTGTTAGGAGCACATAGTTGTTATTTTTGTAACTCCAAGTTGTGCATAATTGATATATACATAATGATATGTGTTTTATGCCTAGTCACATAGTTGTTAGTGTTGTAGTCATGGCTATAATTGTCGCATGTGCTTGATATATGTGAAATATTCATGTTTATTGTCATTTGTATTTATTTTTAATTGATATGCATCTGTATAGATTAGGTGGACCTTGATTACTGAGCGGTTGTACTCACCCCTCATTCTTCAATATTTTTAAGGTTTAGCTCATTGAATTCAAATCAGGAAAAATGTGCTGAGGCTTAGGATTATAGTGTAAATTAATCCTACTGTATGCCTCCTTGTGTTCACTTATGTGTATTAATGTTGTTAATTTACAAACTAGGACATGTATCATTATTTTGAGCTGCTTGCATTATTGTTGTGAAAATCTTGCATATTTTGTTCCCTCAGTGAGTGAGATGTGATTGTAAAACTTATATAAGGCTAAAATACTTGTGCAAGTAGTGTAATATGTTTTGGGATGTTTTGAAATGAATATTGATGAGTTGTGCAAAGATTTCTTCCCTCTTGTATTTTTATGAATTTAGGGGTTGAGTGGTGAATTTATGTTATATGAATATTCATATGGTTGTGATGTGTTGCACGAGTCCTAAATAGTCTATTGAGTGTGGTCTAATGGTTGGTGTAGGTTTTTGGCACATTGATTGGTGTTTGGACACCCTTGTTGTGTGTATTTGTGAAAATAGGTTTAGGTGTCTAACTTTTTATAGAAAATGAGTTTAGTTGTGAAATATGTGCCACTAGCAGGAGCTAGGAAAAAGCTCTTTGTAGACACCAAAATCACCTCAATCAGACGTTGGACGAAGATTTAAGATATGTCGAAAGTTTGTCCTTATGTTGTCATATGACAGCAAAAGTTTGCTATAAAAAATCATGCAATGCACTACAGTGCATGGTGCCTCGCGTCATGGTGCATGGCACAAATGCGGTGCACCTGCAATTAGCCATAATGCATGTGCCATTTTCTATAGTTTTCACTGTTTTAGAGTTCCTATGCAAATGCTTTATGTGTGTGTGTGTGGAGTTCCTATGCAAATGCTTTGTGTGTGTGTGTGTGTGTGTGTTGAAATCTTGGGATCCCATATATTATTATCAAGATTTGTATCCCATTTGTATAATTTGATTAAATTGATGAATACGTGAATTTTGGGAGATTGTGAAGGATTAGTAAGGGTAACCTTACTTGTCTAACTCAGAGTTTACAACTTGCTACCAAGGAGTTACACAAATTCTCCCAATACAAAATTGGTGAACCCCTCACAGCTATTATTGACTTAACCATGTCATAATGTATATAGTTTATTTTTCATTTCAAGAACTCAACTCTATTGTTGAGAGCATGGGACATTTAGTCATCTAGTTATCATTTTTCTCTTCACATAGCTAATTTGATTGATGGATTAAATAATTATTCACAACCTTGATTAGTTAACAATATTTTAATTTTACTATTCATTTGATTTTGCATACCTCATTTAGGTACTATCTAAAGCACTCAAATGCTTTAGATTTATATGAAATCAATATAGATGACCATATCGTGAATAATTATAAATAAATTATTAAACTCAATGATTGCTCTCACACTTATAATACCACATTTATTAAAATGGAAGAGTTGCAATGAATATTTTGTTTTAGTTCCCTTATTGGAAAGATTTTCCTGTTGCTTTATCAATTAGACAATTCTTCCACAAAGACATTTTCATATTAGAAATTGATCAGAGTATTTCTTATTTAGCTAGTTTTACTCATTCTTTTTTAATTTATATGTCCTAATTTAACATGTCAATTGCTCATATCAATATTAGATTTAAAACAATCAAAAAAATGATTTGCCACTAACAATATCCAAAAAACTTCCTTAAAAGAAAAATTGAACAAAAAATAAATTATTCCTTTTGTAATGTCTACAACTTTATAATAAAAGTAATAAATCCATAACATAGAAAATTAAAATAAAGTTCCGTTAGAATTTCAGTGCATAAAATACACCATTTAGAGAGTCAAGGTCTTTTTACATTGCAAAGCAAAATTCCTTGGTCTTTGCCTTGTTGCCAGTATAAAATTATTTTCTTTTAATTTGGCAATTGACAATACTATGTGAGAGAACCTCAATCCCTGCATGTGAATAGTACTAGTCACATTTAAAAATATGTAAATTATTTCAATTGATTAATACCTTACCTCATCACAATCCCTTACAAAATAACTCATTTTTTGACAGGTATAATTCCATTATGATCAGATCAGCTTTCTTCTCACTTCTTTGGCAGGTGTAACATAATTTTTTTTTTTTAGCATAAGAAATAGATTCCGTTTACAATAAAGATTATCTTTTTCAAAAATACTGAAGACAATGGATAAACTTTTCTCAACTGAACTACTACATACAAAAATATTGTTGTGAAAAGTCACACGGAATTTTGGGTAGATTGGGATTTCATGTAAAACAAGGGGTTTTATTTTTGGGGATAACAAAAATATTTGTATAGCTACAAATTACAATTATAATTTAGGAAAAATGACAGAAAAATTCATTTAAATTATATAAATAACAGATTGGTCTCATGAAATGACATAATTTCCCTGGAGTTCCAATAGATATTTCTATCATTAGAGAATTATAGGAAATGATTATTTTTCCCTTTATTTATATTAAAAAAATTTGCAACTTTTCATTCATAACTTTTGTTTTTATATTTATAACTTTTATTTTTAAATTCACAACAATTCAATAGTCATTTACAACTCTGCATCTGCAAGTCTTGATATATACATCAGGTGTTAAAAATTTACAACTTTTCATTTACAATTTTTTTTCCTATATTAATAACTTTTATTTTTAAATTTAAAATAATTCAATAGTCATTCACAACTTTGCATATGCAGGTCCTGATATATATCAAGTGTTGAAAATTCGTAACTTTTCATTCACAACTTTTATCCTATATTAATAACTTTTGTTTCTAAATTCATAATAATTCAATAGTCATTCGCAACTTCAGAGATTTTTGTTTTATTTGAAAATAATTTGGTTATTTTTCTAATTTTCTAATGATAAAAAAAAATCTCATAGGACTTCAGAAAAATTAATCATTTTATGAGATCAATCTATCATTTATATAATTTAAATAAATTTTTCTATCATTTTTTCTATAATTTATTCCCATAGGACAAGTCAACAACATTACTTGTCCATTATATAATTATTTATTCATCCTAATGTCCAATTCTTCTCGTCTCGAGTCAACTAATCTCTCCCTCTTCATCATATGTAAAAAATATTGAATAATTTTATTCATGATAAAGATAAAATTAAACATTTATGAAGTATATAGTTTTAGCAGTCCATGTGAACATTTAAAAAAATAATTTTAAAAAGGCTATCTCATCTCATGTGATTAGTGGAATATGAGTAATTTTTATCTAGAAAAGAGAAGTTTATATAAATAATATTAAATAATTATATTTAATATAATAAATTCATAATTACTTGTAACATTAAGAATATTGTATTTTAAAAATATAATATATTTAAATTAAAAATTATTTTATAAATATTCTTATTTAAAAAAAATAAATATTGTCGAAAATCTTCAAAAATTAAATTAAACAAAGACTTTTCGACTTTCTAGTGAAGAAGGAGAAAAGAAAATGTGAAAATGGGAGAGAAACAATATCTGTAGGGCCCACGTGACGACACCCACTCGTTCTTGATGCAAAAGCCGTGTATTCTGAGGATTCCATGAACGGTTATATAGCTATAGCTGGCTCTCTCTATATATAAAGAAGCGTGAAAGAATTGCCTCGTTCAGCTCACGCCTTGAACAGCATCTCTGTTCTAATACTGTTAGATTAATCCTCCGCTATCTCTCTCTCTCCCCTCCCTTTCTTCTCTCTTAGCTTCATCACAGACAGACACTGAATCAATTAAGAGCAGAGGAGGAAGAAGACGAGCAGTAAGATTAATTTTTCTACTACTGTTAGATCAATACTCCCCCTCTCTTCTCCCTTAGATTCATCATATACAGATACTGATTAATCAAGAGAAAAAGAGCGAGAATTTTTTCTGGAAACTACTCTTAGATTAATATTCAACCGATGACATCAGGCAGATACTGAATCAATTAAGAGCAGAGCGAGATTAATTAATTGTTGTCGGAAGCATGCATACAAGGAACCACTGGGGAGGATCGTTCGAGATAAGCAACGACATTAATGGAGGAGGATCTGGAGGATTGTACAATTCGGCGTCGACGGAGCAGTATGAGGCGACTGCGATGGAGTGGGAAGACAAAGGAGCGGCGTCGCGGAGGCACCATGTTCATCATCAGGAACTGGATGAGATGCAGCAGAGTTGGCTGTTAGGGCCGGAGGATCCGAAGAAGAAGAAGAAGGAGTATGTGGATTTAGGATGCATCGTGTGCAAAAGGAAGCTTTTGAAATGGAGCGTTGCTTCGATTCTGATCGCCTTCATTGTAATCGGTCTTCCGATCATCATCGCTAAGTCGTTGCCCGAACACAAGGCGAAACCTGCACCGCCCGATAATTACACTCTTGCCCTCAACAAGGCGCTTCTCTTCTTCGACGCTCAAAAATGTAAGTCGTCTTTCCCTCCTTCAACTCTCTCTCTCTCTCTCTCTCCATTTTCAATTTAATTTTTTATTTGTTGAATTATATAAATATCTAGTAAAATTTAACTAAAATGTCTTTAATTTTATTTTTTCATTAAATAATATTGTTATAAATATTAATTTATATAGTGTATTATGTATTATATTGTACAAATTCAGTTCAAATTAATTAAAAAAATATTAATCTGTAAAATGATTTTAATTTTTCTCACTTTTGAATTAGGTTCTTATAATTTATTTTATTCTAATCAAACTTTCAAAATTTGATTGATTAGATATCCTAATTCTTAAGGGATAAATTCCTTAAATTCTTTTAAATGAAATTAAGGACTTTTATATTTTTATTAAAATTTTATATAATTTTTCATTAAAAATCAATAAAAATTAAAAATTATAATAAATGAAATTTTATTTTTGATTTTTTAAGAAATTATTAAATCAATATTTCTATAAGTATAAAATTATTTTTATTTTGAAAAAGTTAATCATTCATTATTAATTTTAAATTTTAGCGACTAAAATATTTAATTAATCAAAATATAAGTTCTTGATTAAAATAAAATAAATTATAGAACCTAATTTAAAATTGATGAAAATAAGAAGGACCTGCAAATTAATTTTTTTAATTAAAAGCTCATAATATACTTAAAATAATAACTCGATTATTATCTAAAATTTAAAAGTGGTAATAAAAATATCATTTTAAATTTATAGCTGATATTTTAATGAAAATTTACATTAAAAGTACTATTTATATCAATTTTCTAGTTTGAATGGAGATCATGTTGTATATTTGTCTAAGCACACACATTTATACAATTTTAAAAGACTCACCTATATGTGTTGAAAATTTGGCTTTAACCATTATATGAGGCGTTAGATTTACACCTCATAACATGATACACGGGTTGATTTTATTTTTTTTAATATGGGATCGCTGATTCGCTGTGTGAAGAAAGAACTTACTTAAAAGTAAAGATGTCAAAAGTAAAATTCATATTCTTTAATATAAAGTAAGAGCGTTCACAAAACAAAATGGGATCAAGATACTTCTATCCCGTGTCCCATCCTAAAAAATGAACAAAATTGAATTTTTGTCATATATCTTGTCCTATTTTATTTGGAATTGGGATGGGATTGAAACATTTTGATAAAGTGAACAACATAAGAGAAAGATATGAATAGCAATACTTATTAAAAATATTAAATCATATAATTTGTTAAGTTTAAAACTAAAATAACTTTAAGTATATAAATTACAATGATTTAAAATTTATTATTGAATTACATCAGTTACGACTATAAATGTATAACTTAAAATCAAATATATATTAAACATAACATGTTAGTAATTATAAGTAACCTCCGGCTATAAGAGCAATAGCAAAAACTGTAAAGTGACAAGAAAAAAAATGTGTTTATTTTAACTCAATGTGACTATGTCACGTCTGATGTGGGACTTGATATTGCAAAAATACATCAATTATACGAATAAATTAAACCAGTTAAAACTGACGGCAATTTAAAACTTCTTAATTGATAGACACAACCAATTTAAAACTCTCACAATTTTTATGTCAATGATAAGACATAGTCTTAGTCATAAGAGTTTTTTTTTTGGTGAATTTAGTCATTAGAATTTAATTAAGAGATCAGATGTCGTGTAGTATTATCAAGTCATGTATTATAAATATACAGCTGTATTTAGGATGCCATTTGACTTGCATTTAACGCGATGTTATGCATAAATATATAGCTGTGTCCAAGTAAGATCTGACCAGCCAAAGTACTATATGAATTGTTATATATATATATATATATATATATTGATTTTCCTCATCACAAATGTGAGTCAATTTTTTATAGCAACGAGAAAAAATTTTAAAGTTCATGTCAAAATTATGAATTTTTTACTTTTAAAAAACACATGTTCTCTAAAATAAAAACTATTCAATGCCTTAGTGTAACTAAAATTTTATTATCATATCATTCATGAATTTTAATTTCATATTTTAAAAATTGTTTTTAATAATTTTTTAAAAACATTAAAATTTTTTTAATAATTTCAATATAATTTTTAAAAAAATCATTGCAACAAACATTTAATTATATACAAGCATATCGTCACCATGATTTTGTATTTAAATATTCTTGATGGGTTCTAGCCAAAAAAAATTTTGTTGAAGTTTATACTTAAATTATTATTATTCAATTTTTCCTTTCAGTTCATATAGCCACAATCATTTGACTCGCTCTATTTTTTTTTTTAAGTGAAGGGAAAAAATTAACTATGAGAGATGTTTTTTACTCTTGAAATCATTCCAATTGTTCCACGTCATTATCAAAACTCGCTTCCACTTAATTTTTTTAGAATTTATTTCAAAAGTCCACCAATGGTTGTTGACGATTAATTTGACATATTCAAATACACATAAAAATGAATGTTAATGCGCGTGATGACTCTATACTTTACTTTTTATAATATGTTGCTGGCTGAATCCGCCCAGCTACACGGTAATCTAGACTTTGAAAATTTGAAATTGATTGGTTGTCTTATTTGAAAAGTAACTATATATTGTCAAAGTAAATAGAAATTAATACTATAGGGTTTAAGCTTTATGAGAACACGAAAGCATATATAATTGTTAATATTACCATTCAATTTTCTCTGTCTTTATTAAGAAAAATAATTTATTAATTAAAATTTTTACAATCAAAAGTTTAAAAATTTTGAAATTTAAACATAGTTTTGGATTCTCAAGGGAATGTGAAATGATTTTTTGTAGAGAAAATAATACAATTTCATTTTTTGACAACCAAATTTTTCATTCACCTTAGCTACATATGAATTCAATTCAATTCTTTTTTTTTTTTAATTATTCTACAACCTAACACCGTTAGTAGTGTATCATTCATTAATTAGTAACAATATCTCCTGTGCGTAACACACGTTTATTAAAATATTAGGAAAATGTATAGATATGATGTCGAGGACAATACATTATTGGATCGAATCATGTGAAATATTCTGTTCAAAATCATCTTCTATCTTCCTATGAAATCTTCTTGAAAATCATATTCTATTTATGGAGATGAGCTTGATCCATCTACCTACAATCATATATATAGTCATTAAATCAAATTGATGGGTTAGATTATGTCATCTATTTGTCAAGGTATCCAACTAGAATCAAATCATTTTAAAACTTTCATTGAGCTGCTCGAGTCCGAAATAAATTTTGCACATATGTCTAAGCCATTTTTGATCCTTAGAGAGATGCTGTCCAGAATAGCTAATCGTCTAAATGACAGGGATATATATAAAGATGAAATATAGGTTGAGGTCTATATATAATTTAAACCTTTCTTAGTGACTAAAAATAATTATTGTGAGGCTAATAATTTTTTTCCAAATTGAGAGGCCAATAATTTTAATTTTGGTGCATTTAATGAATGAATGACTGAAGCTGGGAGATTACCAAAGGGCCATAAAATACCATGGAGGAGGAGTTCAGGGCTGGATGACGGGAGCGACGTTCCAGAGTTGAAAGGAGGACTAGTGGGAGGATACTATGATGCTGGGGACAACATCAAGTTCCACTTTCCGATGGCTTTCACAATGACGATGCTGAGTTGGAGTGTGATTGAGTATCACCACAAATACGAAGCCATTAATGAATACTCTCATACACGTGATCTCGTCAAGTGGGGTGTCGATTACCTCCTCTCAACCTTCAATTCTTCTGCCCCCAGAATTGACAGGATCGCTGCCCAGGTATTAATTCTTTCGTATACATACATATATTTATAAAGAAAAAGACAGAGAATCTGTCTGTCAGTAGAGAAAATGGCAGGTCTGAGCTACACTCATTTTTGATGATTAATTAATACTGGTTTCTGAGAATGAGTCCTTTCCTTCCATTTCTACCCTGGAATTTCACCTAAAGTGTACTTCTTGGACCACAATATAAGATATTTTCTAGATCACCATTTCATCAAAAATATAAGGCATTGGGTGAATTATATATGTATGTATGTATGTATGTATTTTCAATTACGTTCAAGTAATTGAGGGTGTTTTGGACAAGTCTACTATAATATTTATTCCACCCAATAAATGATTGGAAATATGTAAAAGTTTTTGGAAAATCAAGTTTTCAACTAGTTTTTTTAAAAATATAAATTAGTTAACAATGAGGTCTGGAGAGAGTCGTTCCAAAAAATTTAATTTCCATTATCCCAGCTGTTCAACACTCAAATCCTTGAAGGACAAGTTCCCTGAGCTGTACATTAATATTTTGGATTTGCATTCTTTTTTGTTAGAAATCTGTTTCTGTTTTCCCTCTTTGAAATATAATCTGTTGGATCGATGAAATGAGTTGAAAAGACGCCAGATTTAACGGATAACATATATAATATACTGCGTAGCTACTGTGGCGTAAACTCTTCTCTCCCAGCCATTAATTGAATCAAAAAGCAATTGAACTATATATTTTGAACATAATCAAATTAAGGATAGCATGGTTTTGGAAGATCTATTTCTTATTGTTATATTACGAGCACAAATTTAAAAGGAGAGACTATATATCCCAAAAGACTAGCATCTTTGATGGAAGATGGGGAGAATTCTTCACACTTATAAATCGCACCCTACTTACTATGAGAGCTTCAATGTGAGATTTATGATAATGCCACTTAATGAAAGCATTAATTGGTCCAAAGGAATAATCCATTCCAAAATATTAATCTGTTGTGGAAGAACTTCTCATGCTTATAAACCTATCTCTATTTGCAAGCTGATGGGTCTCATGATATATTAGTTATTATTCTCTTTATGTTCCCAGAAAGGGTTTAGATTCATATTTATCCTACCCCGCAATATTTTATGCTGTATTTCAGGTTGGTGGAGCCGACGTAAATGGAACAACACCTGACGATCACTACTGCTGGCAGAGACCAGAAGACATGGACTATCCACGTCCAACCCAAATGATAACTGCCGGCCCCGAACTGGCTGGCGAAATGGCGGCAGCATTAGCAGCAGCATCGATAGTGTTCCAGGACAACACTTCCTACTCTCAAACCCTCGTCAAGAACGCTGAGAAACTCTACGTCTTTGCCCGAGACAACGGCAAGAGATCCTCGTACAGTCGTGGGAATCCCAAAATAGAACAATTTTACAACTCTTCAGGCTACTTTGACGAGTACATGTGGAGTGGTGCATGGATGTTCTATGCCACTGGAAATTCTTCGTATCTTACTTTGGCAACACATCCTTCGGTGGCCAAGAATTCAAAGGCACTGTATATGATTCGAGATTTGATTGTTCCGAGCTGGGACAACAAGTTACCTGCAGCCATGTTGTTGTTGACGAGGCTAAGGATGTTTCTGAATCCTGGGTATCCTTACGAGCAAATGTTGGGCATGTACCACAATATCACTGGTCTTACCATGTGCTCTTATCTTCATCAGTTCAACATCTTCAACTTTACTAAAGGTAAGAATCCAGTTCAATCTTATATTTTTATCATAACATGTAATCAGTTGTCAAACTTAATCGACATGCATGCTACAATCATCGTTTGAAATTAAGGAATAATTTGCATTTTATTAATTGAAATAAACTGGAGTATATTACTTGAATAATTTATAGTAGGTTGGAACATTTAATTGAAATAAACTGGAGTATATTACTTGAATAATTTATAGTAGGTTGGAACATTTAATTTGACTATTTCAGTTTTTGAGTCAGTGATTCATCATAAATAAATGATTTTATAAATGACTAGACTAGACTAGAAACTCGTTTTGAAACCTTGGTCTCTTTTGCTCTCGAATTGTCCACGTGGCTTGTTGTTTGTTTCCTCTTCACCATCTGAGATTTTTACAAGCATAGATCCTTGCATATTTCTATACTGATTTGTTAATCATTCAATCTATGTTTCGGATCCTCTCTTTTTCCCTTAATTTTCATAATTTTAGCAATATATTTATTTTGCTATTATGTTAATTACTTCTGAGAGTTAATATGATGTTGAGACCTGTTGCAGGAGGATTAATCCAGTTGAACCATGGACAACCACAATCTCTTCAATATGCTGCAAATGCTGCTTTCTTGGCTTCATTATTTGCAGATTACAATGAAGCCGCTAGAGTGCCTGGATGGAACTGTGGCTCTGCTTTCTTTCCAAACAGAGTTCTGAAGGATTATGCTGCCTCTCAGGTAATGTGTTATATATTCCATATACTACTATTACAGTAAATTATTTAGGGAAAATAACAATAAAATCCTTTTAAATTATATAAATGACATTTTGGTCCCTCAAAATACCATGATGTCTCTAAAGTCCCTAGAAATATTTCTGTCATTAAGAAATTAATATAAATGACTAAATTGCCCTTAATTCAAATATCAATTGTTATTCACAAGTTTTGTTCTAAAATTTATAATTTTTCTTCTTAAAATAGCTAGAATTTAATAACAATTCACAAGTTTACATTTAAAATTCTAATATTTCATAAGTGTTGTAAATATTAATTGTTATTCACAAGTTTTGTTATGAGATTTACAACTTTTTTTTAAATCATAAGAATTCAACAGCAATTTACAAATTTAAATTAAGGGCAATTTGATCATTTATATTAATTTCTTAATAACAGAAAAGTCTCTAGAAACTTTAAGAAAATTATGGCATTTCGAGGGATCAAAATATTATTTACATAATTCAAAGGCATTTTATTATCATTTTCCCAATTATTTACATCTCTTGTGCTTTTTATTTTTAAAACTCATACTCCCTCCATTTAAAAATGTAAGGCATTTTTAACCAAATTTCACTTCCCAATAAAGTAGTTACTTGTCTTTAAACTAGCACTATCTTTTCATATTTATCCTTATTTAATAGGATTTTTCACTCTAAAATAAATATAAAGTAATTTATTTATTAGGATAGTTATTAGAAAAATAAAAAAAATTAAACCTTGAAACACTAAAAATATCTTATATTTTGTAATATTTAATTCTTTAAAAAATGTCTTATAATTTTGAACGGAGAGAGTATCTGTGTGTGTGTGTCTCCCCCTTAGAAACCGGAAAAATTAAAAACAAGAACAACTCCAATGACTACTCTTGATTTTTCTTGAGTTATTCCAACCTTTCTTTTATTTTAAAAACTATCCACAATCAACCCTTTAAAACAAAAAAAAAAAATACTGTAATTAGGTAGATATCTCTCATTTATTTTTAAGAAAATTTTGTGTATTTTATAAATAGAGAAGAAGTTTGCATGATTTCAACAAAAAATTAAAAAAATTATTTGAAATTTATTCTTGTTTTGGTAAGAAGCTAAATTTAAATAGATTTTAAAAAATTGAAAGAATGTATAGTTTGAGGAAAATTTTAAAGAAAGGCAGTGGTCTTAATAAATATATAAATTAAAGCCTAGAGCATAATCCTTGTAATTTCCAATTTTATGAATTAGAAACACTATTATTTTATATATTAACAATTTTTTAATAATACGATATATAAGCTGCCACCTTCCTTCAATTCTAAATATGAATTTTGTTTTTAGATCCCCAGCTAGAATAATATAAAATTAAGTCATGCCTGTATCATTAAATAGTTAAATAATTATTTTTTTATAATTATCCCTACTAATTATCATGTAATTGTTTACTTTGAGAATCAACAAGTAAAGAGAGAGAAACTTTAAATATCCCTGCTAATTAACTTTAACTATTTTTAAAATATGTATGAGATAGATAATTGTGACTTATATTTACGACTAGAGCTAGTATTACCATTGTAACAAGATATTGTAACCTCATGTTTTGAACATTATATATTTGACTTGAGCCCTACCGTTCATATTGTGAAATATTGCAATATGCCAAAAATTATAAGACGACATATCTACTATGCTTGTAATTATTAAGACATTTGAAACTTGCAGATTGATTACATCCTGGGAAAAAATCCCATAAAGATGAGCTACGTGGTGGGGTTCGGACAGAAATTCCCAAAACATGTGCATCACAGAGGAGCATCCATACCAAACGACCATAAGCGTTATTCATGCTCAGGGGGATGGAAGTGGCGTGACACTTCACACGCCAATCCAAACACCATCACCGGAGCCATGGTCGGAGGACCTGATAAGTTTGACCGATTTCGCGATGTGAGGAAGAATTATAGCTACACTGAACCCACTCTTGCCGGAAACGCTGGCCTTGTGGCTGCTTTGGCTTCCCTAACAGTCACCAACGCAAGTGATAACGGTGTTGACAAGAACACCATGTTCTCCGGTGTTCCACCGCTTGGACCACCAAGTCCGCCCCCGCCGGCACCATGGAGACCTTGAGATTGAAACTCAAATTGAGCGTTCAAAATTGTTTTTGGTTTTACGATTACTTTGGGCATGAGACAATGTGTTCTTTTCTACTCAATCTTTTCATATTCATATCTATGATTGAGTTATGAGTGTATCATATATATACCAGGGTAATAAAATTATTGTTTTTCCTTCCGCTTGTATAATTTGCCTCTGAGTCAAATGTTTATTTTAAAAAAAAATGAAATTTGATTGAGGATGCATAATTAAAAGAAAATTTGAGAACTCATAACACACACACACACACATTCAAGAGGGGAGTAATTTTTTTTTTTATTTTTGGGTAGAAAGAAGGGAGTAATTTTATTATTAACTTGTGGCTTTTTTGGGGTTTGCAGCTTTAGCCCATTGATATGGTTTCCAAAATAAAAACATAAAGATGGTATTTGCGCTAGCACAATTCTTTAGGAATTAGACCACAAAATTACCCACTTTAGAAATACAGCAACTACACCAGAATCATGCCCAGAAGTACATGGATAAGAAATAAATGATCCGAATCTTTGATGACTAGTATTTCAAGAGAGAAAGATTGACGAAGAGATCAAAATCCTCATTAGAATATATAATTGTTGGCGAGGAAAGAGGAAACAAAGAGGGCGAGACCTGGGTTTTCGGTGATTAAGGAAGACGATGACTAGAGGAATTGGCATCTTGTAACGCACCTTATTTCACTTGTGACACCATTTTTTAACTCTACTGTAGTAATTAAAGAATCAAACCAAAATTGAAGGTTACATAGTGGAGAAATTTAAATAGTTAAATATACTAACCATAGTAGAAAAAGAATAAAGGGTTAGAGGGCAAAAATGCTTCAAAAGTTTTCCAAACAAAACACTGGGTACCCTTAAGTTTCATAAGAAGCAATGTTCCCTTGAAGGTCTTGAAAATAGAGCAATCAACGGTGGAGCCAGGATTTTGAGTCAAGGGGTGCAGGACAATGTAATCTAAAAATTAACAATTAAAAATAATATTGAAATTTTTTAAAATTAATTACATTAGGCAAAAAATATAATAACATAAGTAAAATTATACATATTTTTATTTGGAAAAAATATATTGAGATTTTTTTGCCAAAAATATGTTGACAAAGTTGATATTGAATTTAAATTTGGACCCCTAAATATTTTTTATAGAATATACAGAGTTCAAAATAGTAAAGATATGGGGTGCAAGGTTGTAAATTTCTTCTATTATATATGTAATTTTTTCCATGTAACGGGGTGCGTTTGCCCCCTCTCACATCAACCTAGCTCTGCCATTGGGAGCAATGTTGTCCTAGAACTTTTAAAAATAGTGCAATTTTACTTTGCCATCAAAATTAACCGTTTGTTCTTTCTTATTTGCCACGTGGTAGACACATGGCATTTAAAAAGAAAAAACACTTGCAGCCTTCCACTTCATTGCAAAAAGTTATGTTTTAAAGGTGTTTCATTTAAGGTGTTTGTAAGAAATGCCTCAAAAGGCGTAAATTGAGGCATTTTCTAACCAAAACGCCCCCTTAAAGAGGCATTTATATTGAAACACCTTTATATGGGGAAGTTTCAATAAAAAAACACCCCCAAGGTTACTAGGGTGTTTCTGTACAAACACCCCCATGAGGGGGCATTTTAAGGACATTTGCAATTACAAATGCCTTAGGGGGCGTTTGTACAGTTACCAAATGCCACCTTAAGGGGTGTTCTTATCTAGACAAACGCACCCTGTAGCCCTATATAAAAGGCATGCAAACGAAATTTTTCATTTGCTCGCCTTCTCCTCTCGCCCAAGGTTGTCTACCTCCCTAAAATATTTTTTGATTTTTGTTTCATAAATTTTTATTCATTATTTGATTTATGATTATATTTATAAAAAATTTACAGGTTACTGAAATATTCTTCTCTTGATGTTTTTGAAGAAAGCTTGTGAGTCCAGGTTAGTAAAATTTTTATGATTAAATTTATTTTTTTTAGCCATTTTGTTAGTTATCTTAATTTGATTATGTACTTGCTCATAATAAAAATTTTGTTAATGCATGTGTATTTTTTATTTTGATGATATTCAATTCTGTTAATTTTAATTGGTTTTAGTTAAATGTTAATATTGAATTAAATTTAGGTAAAAATTTAAGTTATAAATCTTAAATTTTTAATGTGTAGAATTTATTGTTGTTAGGATATAAATCTTATAAAATTTAAATTTTTTTCAGTGATGGATAGATCATGGATTAATATGCCTCGAACTTCTAAAACATATCTAAATGGATTGGAAACACTGTTAGATTTTGCATTATCACATGGAGATGGAGTTGAACTCATTCTTTGTCCATGTCCAAAGTATAATTTAAAAAAAAATGGCATAAGAAAAATGATGTCCAAGAGCACTTGGTGTTAAAATAATTCCCTCGAGGGTACACATTTTGGGCAATGTATGGAGAGACACATGATAGAGTAGATAAATGTGTAGATATCTTAGCAACAGCAGAAGGAAGAATTGAAATGTTCTCTCCAGTGCAACAAGAAAATCCCATCATTAATATAATTCATGATGCATTTGGGGTGCCATAAGAAACAATTTCTCAAGAAGTAGATGTGCTGATTCATTATTTTTGAATCAAATGGATGAAGAGACTAGAAATTTTTATGAATTTTTAAGAAAGGGAGAGCAACCTTTGTTTGATAGGTCTGAAAAATACACAAAGCTTTCTTTTTTGGTGAAATTATATTACATCAAGTGCTTGTGTGGAATTAGTAATAAAGCAATGTCCATGATTTTTGAATTATTAGCATATGCATTTGAAAATGCTAAAATTCCAAAATCATTCTATGAAGCAAAGAAAATGATAAATAAATTAGGATTGAACTATAAAAAAATTGATGCATGTCCAAGTGATTGTATGTTATATTGGGATCCTGATGAAGACATTAAAGTGTGTAAAAAGTGCAACACTTTCAGATGGAAGTTGAAGAAGGGGAAGAAAGGAAAGAAAAAAGCTACAAAAATTTTGAGATATTTTCCATTGAAACTATGCTTACAGAGGTTGTATATGTCATCGAAGACATCCAAACACATGAGATGGCATTATGACAAAAAAATGATGATTATATGTTATGACATCCAACGGATTCTGAGGCTGGGAAGCATTTCAACAAATTGTATCCAGAATTTGTAGCAGACCCAAAAAATGTTAGGATAGCTTTGGCTATGAAGGTTTTAATCTATTTGGGACATTGAGTATAAGTTATAGTACCTGGCTGGTACTTCTCATACCATATAATCTTCTACCATGGATGTGTATGAAACAAAGTTTTTTCATCTTATCAATGATTATTCCTAAGAAAAGAGTACCTGGTAATCATTGATGTTTACTTACAACCATTAATTCAAGAATTGTTAGATATCTGGAACATTGGTGTTAATACTTATGATTCATACTTGAAGGAAGTTTTTAATTTGCATGTGGCTTTGATGTAGACTATTAGTGATTTTCCAGGCTTAGGGACATTATCTGGTTAGAATGTACATACAAGATTAGCTTGCCCATCTTGTAACTTTGATTCAATTTCTCATAGGCTTCCTCACAGTTGAAAATGGTGTTTTATAGTGCATCGTCGATTTTTGGATCATAAACACAAATTTAGGGTAGCCTAAGCTAAATTTGATGGAAGCCATGAGCGTAGAGATCCTCTTGTTCTTTTAAATGGGCATGGATATTTTGAGACAAGTTGATAATATTAATAATGTCTTTGGAAAAGATAGTGTGACAAGAACATCAAGCAAAAGGTCTCAAGGTACATCTGGTGGAGACATACAACAATAGTGTAAGAAGAGCATCTTGTTTAATCTATCATATTAGGCAAACAATTTGTTGCATCACAATTTAGATGTAATGCATATTGAAAAAAAAATGTATGTGACAATGTAATCTTTACACTGTTGAATGAGAAAGTCAAAAGATCATTTTCAAGCAAGGAAGGATTTACAAGAAATGGGCATTCATTCAGAATTATGGCCAGATAACAATGGTAAATTTAATCCGGTTTCATTTAAACTATCAAAAGCAAAAAAGTATATGTTTTTGAAAATTTTGAAGAATATAATTGTGCCTAATGGATATGCTAGTAACATTTCTAGATGTATTGATGTTGCCCAACAAAAGATTGGAGGATTGAAAAGTCATGATTCTTATATGCTAATGCAACAATTGTTTCCTTTAGCATTGAAAAATACATTGCCAATAGAAGTGTTTGCTGTTTTGATTGACTTGTCTTCTTTCTTCAAGAAGGTTTGTAATAAATCATTAGTTATGGATGAGCTTGATCAACTTCAACAAAAAGTCGTGTTAATGCTTTGTCACATGGAAATGATGTTTCCACCATCGTTCTTCATAGTGATAGTGCATTTGATTGTACACTTGGTTGGTGAAGCAAAGCTTGGGGGTTCTATACAATATCAATGGATGTATCCTATCGAGAGATTTTTAGGTAAGTTAAAATCTTATGTAACAGATAAAGCTTGGCCAGAAGGATCCATTATTGAAGGTTATCTAGCTGATGAAATTCTTACTTTTTGCTCGAGATATTTTGATGACATTAAGATAGTATTCAATCATCCTCAATGAGTTGATTGTCATGCTATTGACACACATGTGAATACTATGTTTCCACCTATTGGAAAAGTAGTTAGAGGATTTGAGTTTTCATGCTAACTAGTGAACATAAAGATGATGAGCCATACATTCTCACATCACAGGCACAACAAGTTTTTTATGTGCAAGAAGTTTCAAATCCTAATTGGAGTATGGTTGTGCACTTAAAACCTCGAGATTTGCTTGACATAGGGGGTGAAGAAGTTGATTTCAATTATGATATTGAGTCTTTCAAACCAATATCTTTGAAAATAATATTTCCTAATAATTTAAACTTATCAAGGTGTCATCTTTTTTTATTTTATTATAAATACTAGTTTCTTCCATTTCTTTATATTTAAAATAATTTACTTTTTTTGTGGGATCCCAAAAGATGAGGAAAGGCCAGAATAGTAAATCTGCTAAAGGCAAGTTAATCATACAAGGAGATAATTTTTGCATTGACCTAAATGGAATTGATTATCAAAGTGCTAGGATAAATTTAGACCGTATGCCTAATTGGGATCAATTATTAAATTCAA